CCTGACACATCACACAACATACAGTTTATAATCAACCTTTGTATTACTCGTGAAATATAAGTATTCATTCTACATCACGTCGTCATCAATCAAAACATCTCTCCGGAGGCTGTAAAAGGCACGACGAGAGAGCGACAAGCGAAGCGGGCAGCAACCAACGTTCACCGTCGAGCTTGCCGTAACAGTAATTTTTCGTATGTGTATCCCTCGAGAGCTTGCGTTGAAAGAATAACGGAAGGGAAAACGCAAGGTAATAAAAACTTCTAATATATATACTTCTCAATAATACCAGTATAATTTCAATTTTGGATGTAATTTAATTCATAACGCAAATTTATGTAGAGTGTAAATATTTTTTCACTTACGGCACAAATGTAGAGTTTGCAGAAGTGTACGGCGCAAAACAGTCATCATTGCGATCGTCATTAATTCACAAGCTGAAGTCGTTCAAAACTGACAGATTATCAAGAATATACTGTATTACAAGAATATAAACCAAATATATTCATATTGTCAATTTCTGTAAGGCACGTGCACACAAACGACACACATCAAGTGAAATTAAGCCAGACATAACCTAGCAAAAACATAAACTATGTTATTCGTGTTCACGCATTACATAATGAACTACATTAGTAGCCAATACGATCCTCAATCGGGACGCTCCTAATCTCGGGGATTAGGTAGGGAGATGTATTCTGCGAATTATGTAGAAATATCGGTTTCAGATGTCTCCCGTTTTGCAAATGTTTCACAAACATTGTCTTTGGCATGTTGCACAGTAAGATAGACTTCTTTTATATTATTGTTTATCAACGATGTGTTATGATTTTGTATCCGAAATGTTCACTATCGCTTGGGAATGGAATGTCGAAGATTGCTTCAGAACTCGATCGAAAACTTCATATCCCATTCTCACGCAAATTCATTCCCTCTTCGCTTGTACCTTCGGTGCAGAACAGCCTTTATTAAGCAGGCCACGATTACTCTACTAAACGGTCGTGCGACGTCATATGTGACAAAATTTAAATTTGAATCAGATTATAATTTTTGATTGTATTCATTTCTTACTTTTACTAAATATTAATAATAATTTATTTATAAATATCTACATGTGTGTATATATAAATTATTATTATTAAAATATAAAAAATTCAATTTTAATGAATAAAAATTTAGTTGTTTTGTGAATTATTTTATAAAGGTATTTAAACTTGATAATACGTTCAAATGAATATTCACCCATGAATAGAATTCCGTGAGATAGCAATAATATTCATAAAAACGGAAAACTTAATTAAATAACGTTAATTAATAATTTATTTTCACAGAGCATTTCACAAAATTTATAAAATACTCCAAATCTGAAAATTCTTCGCAGAAACCACTAAAACTGTTTAGCACTGAATGAAGGCAATCATAAATACAACAAAAATTGTGGGATTAAACGAACCGTGAATAAACTAAGGATTAAAGTAATAAACTCCACTGTTTGAATCTTTGAAATATTTAACTGGTGATTAATTATTTAATGTAAACTTCCTTTGCGTTATAGCGAGAGCAAGATGAGCCAGATTTCAAAAACATGGAAGAGCGAAATAAGAGAAGAAGAGATACACGTTATGTGGAGAAGAGAGTGGTTTAATTCATAATTACAGAAAGATAACCCAAGAAAATATTGTAATAATAAAAACATCGGACGTCTCCAATGACATGGATGAAATAAACCAGTTAAGACGATAAACTGATTATAATAAAACGAAGAGAAATAAAACAGACGAAAGTTAGATTAAGAAAGTCAGCAGCTAATCAACGATAAATTTCAAAAAAAACGTAAAATTAACATGCGTTAGTCATTAATAGTAATATATCTCTGAAAAAATATATATTTTGTTAGAGTGAAAC